AATGGCACGATCTCGGCTCACCGCAACCTCCGCCTCCTGGGTTCAGGCAATTCTCCTGCCTCGGCCTCCTGAGTAGCTGGGATTACAGGCACGCGCCACCATGCCCAGCTCATTTTTTGTATTTTTAGTAGAGACGGGGTGTCACCATGTTGATCAGGATGGTCTCGATCTCTTGACCTCGTGATCCACCTGCCTCGGCCTCCCAAAGTGCTGGGATTACAGGCTTGAGCCACCACGCCCGGCCTCTTCCAATATTTTTCAAATAATATTTCCTAAAACTTATCTAAGTTTATCCAAAGGAAATAAGTGTAAGAAAACCAAACCTTTTCTTTCAACCTGGACTGCCCACTGTTCAATTAGCTTAGGGGGACAAAGAGATAGTAATCAATTCACTGAGGAGGAATATTTCAAATTGTGCTGCTCTTTCAGAAACGTCCAGTTTGATGTTCAATACCATTACTGTTCAGGGAGGGGAATGTGACATAGTTTCTAAAGAAAAGGCAGCTAAAAAATCAAGAGTGGGTGGAAATCTTCAGTGAATGAAATCTGGTTTCTTGCTTACAGTGGAGACATAACAACCATAGGAAAACAAGGTAAAATTAAGGGCTGGGCGCAGTGGCTCACGACTGTAATCCTGGCACTTTAGGAGGCTGAGGCAGGAGGATCACCTGAGCCCAGGAGTTGGAGGTTCTATATATGTATACTATACATATATTATAGTATACATATGCACGTGTGTACATATTTTACAGAATTCTAGTTTTTAGTATATATAAACATAATTTATAGTATATAGAAATCCCAGTATCTAGAAACCTCCTATATCGTGTATGTGTGTGTGTGTATGATTTCTTGGAGTCTGAGGGGATTGGTTCCAGGAGCCCCCACATATACCAAAATCCACAAATGCTTAAGTCCCTTATAAACAATGGCATATAACCTATGCACATTCTCCTGTATACTTTGCTGGAGTGCAATGGCGCAATCTTGGCTCACTGCAACCTCCACCTCCTGGGTTCAGGCGACTCTCCTGTCTCAGCCTCCTGAGAAGATAGGATTACAGGTGTGGGCCACTACGCCTGGTTAAATTTTTTTTTCTTTTCTTTTTTTTGGAGACGGAGTTTCGCTCTTGTTACCCAGGCTGGAGTGCAATGGCGCGATCTTGGCTCACCGCAACCTCCGCCTCCTGGGTTCAAGCAATTCTCCTGCCTCAGCCTCCTGAGTAGCTGGGACTACAGGCACGCGCCACCATGCCCAGCTAATTTTTTTGTAGTTTTAGTAGAGNAGACGGGGTTTCACCATGTTGACCAGGATGGTCTCGATCTCTTGACCTCGTGATCCACCCGCCTCGGCCTCCCAAAGTGCTGGGATTACAGGCTTGAGCCACCGCGCCCGGCCAATTTTTGTATTTTTAGTAGAGGCGGGGTTTCACTGCATTGGCTAGGCTGGTCTCAAACTTCTGACCTCAGGTGATCCACCCGCCTCGGCCTCCCGAATGCTGGGATTACAGGCATGAGCCACCATATCCGGCCTGTAATACTTTTTGATGCCATATAAAATACTTCCAATATTTTAAAACTAATAGTCCTTTTAAATTCTCTAAGTTTATCCCCCTAAAAAAATGAGTTTAAGAGAACCAAACATTTTCTTTCAATCTGTATATTGCTACTTATTTAATAAATCCTATTTATTCTGATTTCCCTTCAAAATCTGACATGTAATCAGAGCTTAAGAGTAGTATCATAAAAAACAAACTGTAGAAATGATATGTTGTCAGAACACATACGTCCTCCTTCTTTTCCTTCTTCTTCTTCCTGGGGTGAGAATCAGATTCCTGTGAGGGGGCGTTTAGCTCACTGGAATATTCACGTATTAAAACTTCAATGGCCCCTTTAATCATCTGATCTCTCCTCTTTGTTTCTTCATCCAAGGCTTCTTCATCGTCGTTAGTGACAGTTTCTGGCCTTGCATTCTAAAACAAAACAGCAAATTCAGGGGAAAGAAAAATCAAGCAGGAAAATAAAAATCATTCTACAAGAAGAGTTAATAAACAAACATGTTTTCTCAAAAACATCTCTGTAGTCCTATTAAACACGGAGATGGTTTTGTTCTTAACATCACAAAACTCAGCTTCATTTATTTTATTTCAGTTTTCCTGAGATACTAGTTCATTTTCATTTTCTTTCTTAATACCTAAAACACCCTGACCCCTAAATTTCAGGACTAGCACATCTGCAAAGCATTAACAATTTTTCAGACTGTTTTGCTCAATAGATACACAAATAGCAATTACTAAATAACTGTATGTAATAGTTTATTCTTTTACATATATAAGAACCAGTAGAAAATTCAGTTATGTAGTAAAAGCAAAATACAATTTTAAGTACATTGTGATAGCTACTGCATAGAATAAGCAAAATTACATGTAGGTTAAACAAACAAAAACATCAGATTGCTAAATACACAAAAATGCAAAAATTGGGAGTTTAGGGGCTGAAATGATAGTTTACTTCCCATTTGCCTTCTCTAAGTTCTTATAATGCATTAATACCACTTATAGAAACTATATGCTTACAACATTAAGAAGGAACCAAAGTAACTATTTGTAGGACTTTATTCTTTTCTTTTTTTTTTTTTTTTGAGACGG